TAATTAGATCGAATTATATTTATATTTATTACTTTCCATTTTAATAATTACATATATCTTTTTATTTTTCGTAATAGATAAAATGCAACGTATTAAATAAATTTTAAATTACTTTAAAAAATAAATAAAATCGTTTGTAATTATTTCATTACTATTACTTAACCAATAAAACCCACACCGACCCAAATATAGGAGTCTTCCCATACGAATCAATCTAATATATAAAAATATATATCATATATTTATTTATTATATAGAAATAATAATTTTCTACGAATAAATATTGATATTAGAAAAATATATAAAAGGGAATGGGAGGAGATATTAATGTTATGATTTATTACGAGGAATGGTAAAAATATAATAATCTTTTGGCAAAAATATTTCATTACTTTACTCTCCTCTTTCTCTGTCTGTCTGTCTGTTTTTTTTTTGTTTTCAAAGAATTTTTCGAGAAAAGGAGAAATAGGAAACGTCTCTGGATGATCCTTCTAATTAAGCACGGAAAGCCGTCTCCATGTAATCGTAGATTATTAATCCACCGTGGAAATAGGTAAAGGGAAACTATGTATAGATATACATGTATACATATATATATATATGTATATAGTATAGGGCATCAAAGGAACGACACGTACACCGGCTTGATACACGCATCGTTATTTCCGCATTAGCAGTAACACGCGAGCATACTCTGCAGCTGCTACTCAACGAAACGCATAAGCTTCAAACAAGTGAAACATTATCGATCGAAAAGAACTTCAAGGAATACATTATCTTAATGAACAATTACGAGAAAATAATTTAAAGTTTTTGTTAATTATAATTTTATTATTGAATATATTTCACGAATTAAGATTTTAGATGTATCTACGGTATGTTCAGTCATTCATTTTTGTGTCTACGAATTCAATGAAAAGTATTTTTTATCAATAATACACTGAAAAATGATAGATAAAATGTTGTTGCTCTTTAAATCTGGGTTTTTTAAATCAAATCTCTACGACTTATAATTTCAAATATATTTTCATGCATATATAAGATATTGTTATAAACAATTACTTTGTTTATTAATTATTTATTAAATTGTTACGTTATTTTTTTATAAATTGTTAGTAATTTCAATTGATTTCCTCTGTGTACGAAATAAGATGAATTAAATTCAAAAAGATTTGTTTGGAACAATTTGTTTATAATATGTTGTTTATATTAATTATTAACAATAAGATTAAAAAATAGAGTAAAGTCTTACCTTTCAAATGGTATATTGTTGAAGTTTCTACGATTTTTAATTCCCGAGATATTCCCTTGTAAATGAAAGACGTTTACGTTGACACACTGACCTACATAATTTCATTCAAATTACTCATTGGGTTATTGACCTGTTACTATTACTATTACTATTACTACGATTAGCTGTAGTAATAGAATTATGAATGAAAAACTCTAAAAAGCAATATCTTTTGAACGGGAAATCGTAGAGACATGAAACTAAAACCATTTTCAAGTAAAAATGATCCTCCATTTATTTATACGTAACAACAATATTGTTATAATAAAATCGAATTTGTTTAATAATTTTTTAAACCAAGAAAAAAACATTTATTTTCCATCAAAAAGATACAATTACAATGAACTCATACGAATGTCTATTGGAATGATATCAATTTGATTTGCTTTAATATAATAAATAATAAAAAAATAAATTTTAAACAAATTTAATTAAATTCGCGTCGCGTCGAGTCACACTAGATACGTTGATTAATCAACACCACACAGACAGACAGGCGTCTGTAAATTTCATTATTAATTATGTACAATCAATAATGATATAATTAAATTTTCATCTTTGAATCTTTGATGAACGATTTTTCAAAACTAAGCATATTCATTAAACGTTGATAGGTATAAAAAAAAAAAAAAAAGGAGTCTATATAAGAAAAATTATATTTATAATTCTAATGACAGTATTACATAAGAAAAAAAATATTCCACGAGGTATAATATCATCTCTAAGAAGAAAGATAAATCACTAGACGGGTGGGTGGTTGGTGTGGTGCACGTGGAACACCAGCTCGAATATAATTAATTGTCCTTTACTAACTGTGTGGAGCTGCTAGGAAGAGAGGTATCAGGAAAAGGGACAAACCCGTTCGTCTTCCTTTGCGTTTCAACGAGCCCTACAACGAGGTGGCGTTGACCTCGAAGAAGAAAAATCGTTAATCAAGGATCTCTTGTATCGGATAATTAATAGACGCTATTGATTAGCTGGAGATTAGCAAATTAATTAAGCGAATTTAATGAAAACTACAACGAGTTACTACACCAAAGTCGTTATTTAGCTTCTAATTCATTAATTAAAAGCTTAAGTATTTCTATGAATTTAACGAAGTAACTACAATTATAATTATATATATATTGAGCTGTTTATTTCGAAAGCGATTTAACAATTTTTTGTTTTGATTTTTGTTTCGTAAAATGTTTTTTATGAATGACAACTAATTCCAAGTTTTAATGGAACATGTTATTCCAGTTTAACAACAAACAATTGGCAAATAGATTTAAACAACTTTCCAAATAAATGGCTCATTTGTTTCATTTTGTTTTGCTTCTATATCTACATGCATGATTAATATTTGTTTTATTTAACGTTTCAACACTTCGAGTATTTTTATTTTACATACATAATGCCGATCGAATGGAAATAATTTTTTTCTTTTTTCGATAACTTACAATTGAATAACCAATCTTACAAATATTTAATGAAAAAAAGAATAATTTGAAATAAAAAAAAAAAAAAAAAATAAAAAAACCCTTTTTTTTATAAACGATCGAACCAAATTCTAAGAAGAAAATTTTCCTTTTATCCCAAGCCACACTTCTCATCCGAATTGAAAAAAACAAAAAAATATTATTTACCGATAGATGCGATATAAATATGTACTTTATTTTAAATCACGAATTTTCTCTTCTTCTTTTTATCTTTCACACGTATTCTTCGGATAACATTATCGGTATCCAATCGTGTAGAAACAAAAACTAAATATATAACATTCCACGTTAATAATTTTCGAAGACGACTCGTTCGGTGCGAATCTTTATCTAATAACATCGATGAAACGAAAAAGATGAGATATGGAAAAAGATTGAAAGAAAATAAAAAAATCTAGAGATAGACCCCAGATAGATGGATGGAAAAAAAAGTTGGTCGGGTGAGCGGGCCGACCGGATGGGAGGGAGTGGGAGTGGTGGGTGAAAGAGAGGAAAGGAAAAAAAAAACAAGAAAAAGATAGAAAAAGAAAGAAAAGAAGAGAAGAGAATATAGATCGAGGTTTCTATTTCAAGCACGTCTCGATCGTAGCTCTCGACTTTCCAACTAATTCTAGAGAGGAGTAGTAAGGGAAACCCTTCCTCCTTTCTTTTCCTTTCCTTTCCTTTCCTTCCCATCTCTTCTATTCCTTTTCCTGGTTGTTTGAGGCACACGAATGTCGGCTACACAAAGTCAGAGGGGAAGGGCCGATACCGGTCGCGTTTCTGCTTCTACCTACTTACATAATACCTATCTTTCTACGTGCGTTGAAGTGCAACAAAGATAGAATACGAAAGAGTAAGAAGAGAGGGAGGGAAATCGCTGTCAAGGAAGGAAAAGATAGGGGATGAAGGAGGATGGGATCGATGGGTACATCGGTGTCAAATTTGTCGGCAAAGCGAAACGCTGCATATAAATCGTTCGACCATGGGGTTGAGGTTGGGCTTGAGGTGGTAAAGGGAGAGGCTACAAAGAGAGAGAAAGAGAGAAATGTAGTGGTTCCTACCCTCTTACAAAGTCTAGTGATTTTTATTCCCGTACCTTCTTGTTCTCTATCATTCTTATTCCATGACGAATCGTGCGTGCAAGTTTTTTTATCGTTTCTTCTTCTTCTTCTTCCTACCGACCCCTCCCCCCCCCCGCCACACCGCCGCCGCCCCGTTTTATAGAAATATTCTTTGGGAAACAAAAAACAAACAATAAAATGTGAATCAATTAAATATACTAATATAAAAGAATATATATATTATAATATATAAAAATTATAATATAACACACAGATATATAGATTGAAATTAATGTGACAATTGTTATACACTGTGTAAGGGAGGAAAAAGAAGTGAAAAATATTTGTTAAAGAAAAGAACCAGAAAAAGCAAATATCGTTCGTTCGTAATCAAACAACATTCGCATATATAATATATTTGTTTTTACATTATTATTATTTATAAGTTTAACGCGTTAACATAGGTGTCTTAAAGATAAGACATCGCAGCGTGAATAATTTCCACTACTACCACCACCATCTCAATCTTTCTCTCTTTTTTTCTGGTACCATTTTTTTGTCATAGAAATAGAAAACAAAGTAATAGAAAAACAAAAAAGAAAAAAAAGATAAAGAAAAAGAAAGCAATATATACACAACAGGATAGTAGCCGATATATCGGGTGTACTGTAAATAATGATTTGGAATCGGGGTGAAGAGGGGGGTAGGAGTTGTCCCAGGGATAGCAAGGATTCGAAAACGAACTAAAAAAAGGCGGTTCGCATTGGTCAACCACTACCGGCCGAGCTTGCAATAAAAGCTCTCTCTTTCTTTCTCTCTCTCTCTCTGTTTTTCTCTCTGTTTCTCTTTTTCGTTGGGCAACTTTTGAGCCTGCTGCTACTGTTATGTACTACTGTCCGACGAACGTTTCTCTCTCTCTCTCTCTCTCTCTCGTTTGATTGCTATGCGAATTTTCAAGCACTGTTTACATAACTTCGAAAAAGGATAGAGATAGATTGATACAAAAGATCGAACAAATTGTACTTTTTATTTTTTATTTTTTTGTTCTTTTCTTTTTCTATTTCTATTAAACATCATATCAATCGTCTATTGCAATTGCACGAATTTATTATTAAATAAAGAGAAAGAGAGAGAAAATACATAGATAGATACAGCCGAGCATATAAAAATTGTATTTGTTGTATTATTTATATTATTACATTTTATCATTGATCATATTTCCTTTCATTATTATTTCTTTTTTTTATTTTTTAATTTGCTTATTTCAAGTCACACCCGAGTGTCGTCTTTTGATCATTAACGACTTGTTTTACTAAAATTACATTCAAACGATATTTCGGGTTGTAAGATTTGTAACGTTGCTGCCAAAATATTGACTCTTGCATCGTAATTTCTTTTTATTAAATTTCAATTTGATTTCTAGTTTTTTCCTTTTATTTTTCGTATTGTTTTTTCTTTTCTTTTGTTTCTATGATTAATTATCAAATATGGAAGAACACATATACATACACGTGCACACTTACATACAAAAATTGTATTCTTCTCAATTCGTATTGCACTCAATTATTTATCATTCCTTTTGTTTTATTGTAATTTTTTTATCTCTATTTCCTTCAATTACATTATTACGGATTATTTGATCCTCTTTTCTCTTTTTCCTTTTTTTTTGTTCTTTTTGAGATTTATTTTTTTAAATATATATATATATAAATTCACGTCGCGATATATTCACAAAGTTGGACGAATCTGACGTTAGGTAGCGTGTACAGGATTAAACGATAATTCGATTAATCGCTGGCGGACGGGCGCATTAAATCGATGAATTACATTACGGAATCACTGATGGTGGTAGGTGCGCATCTGCTTCTCGTTATCATCTCTACGAACGCAGGTGATGTTATATGATAATGTAAAAAAAAAAAAAGGAAAGAAAATTTACAAGAAGAGATAGAAATACAAATAAGGATGTTAAATGTAAAAATAAAAGTGGGGAGAAATGAAAGTGGGTGGATAAGGGTTTAGTGGGGAGAGAAAAAACTTATTTCATTTATTTTCGTTGTCTTCTTTCTTTTTTTTTTTGTCGTCGTAGTCGTAATTGTAAATTCCGTTTTTCTCTCTCCCCGATAAATAATTTTCCAATGTTCTACCTGTCTTAAATAATTAACGAGAGTGCAACCAACGTGCCGTGAAAGAAATAGGATAGTTTATCGGATAATAAAAGGATTCAAAAGAAAAGAATTAACAGAAAAAGGTAAAAGAAATATAGGAGCGCATTAGTAAGAAAAAGAGAGATAGAGAAAGAAAGAAATAAAGGAAAAAAAGTAAATACAATTATTGTAATTAAAATCACTTAATTAATGTAGGTAGTATCAATGAAATAATTCAATTACAGATAAATCTTATAATAATTAACAAAAGAAAAAAGATACAGAGTGACATAGAATGAGATTAAAATATGTCTATGTATTTGTATGTGTGACTATGTTCGTATACGTGTATGCATGTGTTATGTTCGTATACGTGTATGC